GAACTACGAATAGAAGGGATCTTCCTCAACATTATAAAAGGCATTTATGAAAAATCTACAGCTAACATCATACTCGTGTTAGCTGTGGTGAAATATACGGAAAGCATGAATTTTTTTTTTTTGAGAACAGGACAAGTTATGTCAGCTTTTGCCACTCCATTGAACATTATACCAAAGTTCTAGCCAGAATGATTTGGCAAGAAAAAGAAATAAAGGCACCAAATTACAAAGGAATGAAGTAAAATCATTTCTATTTGCAAATGACATGACTTATATATAGAAAATCCAAAAAAATCCACAAAAAAACTAGCAAGAGTTAATACAAGAATTCAACAAAGTTGCAGGATATAAGATCAACACACAAAAATCAGTTGTACTTTTATACACTAGCAATGAGCAATCTGAAGATGAAATCAATAGTTAGAGCACAATGTTATAACACCAAGGTCAAAGAGTTCAGATCCCCATGCCAGCCAGCCACCAAAAAAAAAAAAAAAAAAAAAAAAAAAAAAAAAAAAAAAGACATAATCAAGAAAATTCCATTTTACAATAGCACCCAAAGAATAAAATACCTATGAATAAACATGACTAAGAAAATGTAAGACGTGTATACTGCAAACTACAAAATAGTGTTGAAAGAAACTAAAGACCTTTAAATAAATAAAAGATATCCTATGTTCCTGAATTGGAAGACTAAATGTTGCTAAGATGGCAAGAACACACAAACCGATCTACAGACTCAACACAATCTCTACGAAAAGCCAATTGACTATTTTTGCAGAAATAAAAACGCAGATCCTCAAATCCATATTGAATTGCATGGAACCCCACAGTCAAAGGAAATCTGAAAAAGAAGAACAAGTTGAAGGACTCCAATATTTCTGATTTTTAAGTTTACTACAAAATTACAGTAATCAAAAGTGAGGTACAGCAAAAACATAACACATACATAAACTCAATGAACAGAACTGAGAGTCTAGGAATAATCCCTATGGCCAACCGATTTTCAACAAGGGTGTCAAGACTATTCAATGAGGAAAGGATAGTCTTTTCAACGAATCATGCTGAGACAGCTGAATATTGTCATGCAAAAGAGTAAATTTGGATCCCTACCTCACAGCATATACAAAAAATGAACTCAACATGTATTAAAGGCCTAAATGTAAGTGCTAACATTATAAAACATAGAGATAAAGGAAACAGTGATACCAACAGCATGAGCAACAAAATAAAAAAACTGTATTTCATTAAAATTTACAACTTTTGAACATGAAAGGGCTTTATCAAGAAAAACCTACAGAATGGGAGAAAATATTTCCAAATCACTTATTTGATAAGGGTCTAGAAACCCAGAATATATAAAGAACTCTTACAACTCAGCAAGAAAAAACAAACAACTCAATTTAAAAAGGGCAAAAGACTTGAAAAGGAATTTCTCCAAAGATATACGAATAGCCAAAACAAGCACATGGAAAGATGCTCAACACCATTAGTCATCAGAGAAACACAAATCAAAACAATGAAGTATCATCACCTTCATACTCACTAAGAATGGCCACAATTATCCTCTTCTTAGCCCATTCTCACCACGTGACACTCCCAAGTCGCTGCAGAAGAAGGCCCTCATCAGATATGTTCCCTAGACTTTGGACTTCCCAGCCTCTAAAACTTTAAACCCTTGGTTCTGACTCTGAGCTTTTCAATATAGATACACAGACTTTCAGGGCTGAGAGAAATGGCTCTGTGCCTTATAATTCAAGCAACAGAGAGGAAAAAATCCATGTCTGGAATAGTCATTTCCTTTCTGCTACCTACATGCTCAGACTGAGGCATGGGCTAACAAGCATGCCCTAGAAAGTGCACTGGGGGCTACAAGACAATGATATAAGGATGACCATAATTAAAAAACAAAAAACAGCAAGTATTGGTGACAATTTGGAGAAACTGGAACATTGCTGGTAGGAGTATGAAATAGTGCAACTACTGTGGAAAACAGTTTAGTAGTTCCTCAAAAAAATTAAACACAGAATTACCTTATGATCCAGCAATTCCACTCCTAGGCATGTACCCTAGAGAACTAAAATCATGTACTCAAATAAACACCTGTACACAAATATTTACAGCAGCACTATTCACAATAACCAAAAAGTGGAAATAACGCACATACCCATCAATGAGTGAATGGATAAATAAAATGTAGTAGAGCCATACAATGAAATATTACTCAACCATAAAAAGGAACAATGTACTGATACATACTATAATGAAGATGAATGTAAAAATGTTATGCTAAATAAAAGAGCCAGACATAAAAGGTCACATTTTGTGATTTCACTATATGAAATACCCCAGGATAGGCAAATCCAGAGAGAAAACAGATTGTTGGTTACCACGCCTATGTGAAGGGTGAAGATTGATTGCTTAATGCATACAGGTTTCCTTCCGGGGGGATAAAATGTTTTGGAAGTTAACAGAGGTGATGTTGCACAACATTGTGAATGTACTAAATGCCACTGAATTGTATACATTAAAATGATTAATTTCATATTATGTAAATATTACCACAAAATTTTAAAAGCCCATGTGGGAAAAACCCCCCAAATTAGCAGTATATTCAGTATTCCTACTGAATTAAAAGTGCATTCTAATTGCTTGACATAAATATAAGGACCACAGAAGGGAGTATATGGGTAAGTGGTAGTATTAAGTACAATTCATATTTCAAGAAAACTATACAATGAAATATGCATTTAAACACAGTAAAAGATAGTCTGCATTAATCAGTTATCAAAAAATCAGTAATTATTTGATTATTTATTTGGCAATGTAAAATTAAGAGCTAACTAGCTACTATGCTATGTTGCACTCGTCAGATTCTCTCTTCTGGAAATTTGGAATTGGGATTCAAACATATCTGGTTAAGTTCAGTATGTGGTTAAAATGTAGACCTAAAAACTCAGGATCTGTGAATAGACAAGGTGAATCTAGAAAGAGAAAAGAATGACACAGAGAAATAGAATAGTGCCTGGATTCTAGCCCACTGGGAGATTAGACAGATTCTTTTAGCTTCTATAAGATACCCTTCATTCCAATTAAATGTATTATTTGCATTTGGTTTTTGTTGACTTGCAACCAAAATAATCTAGACAAAGAAAGCCTCAATTCCCAGGCTATGGAATTTCAGTATTTTCTTTCTAGGCACTCAATATTTTTAAGCAGGAGACATATTTTGAAGTAAGGAGACAAAAGGACTGGAAGAACAATATAAATGTTGATGTATTAGATCTTAATGTGGTAGTAACCCTGTAGAAACATATAAGAACAAATATTGCTGAGAATGGGCAAGGATCAGCAATTAATGGTATGTGGGCAAAATTGGTGAAAAGAAGTCAGATTAATGAGATACCTGAGCCAGGCAACTCATTTTATGTATAAGACATCAAAAGCACAGGCAACAATAGAAAAAACAAATGGGATTATATGGAACTAAAAAGCTTCTGCACAGCAAAAGAAACAGAGTAAAAAGAAAACCTACAGAATGGGAGAATATATTTGCAAACTATACATCCAACAAGTGATTAACATCCATTATATGCAAGGAACTCAAACTTCTCAACAGTAAAAAAAACAAGTCACAATTTAAAAATGGACAAAGGAGCTGAATAAACATTTCTGAAAGGAAGATATACAAATAGATACACAAAAAATGCTCAACATCACTAAGCACCAGGGACATGCAAATCAAAACCACACTGAGATATCATCTCATCTCACTTAAACTGCCTATTCTCAAAAAGACAGAGAACAACAAATGATGGGGAGAATGTAGAGAAAGGGGAACCCTTCTACAGTGTTAGTGAGACTATAAACTAGTGCAGCCATTATGGAAAACAGTATGGAAGTTTCTCAAACAACTACAGATAAAACTGCTATAAGATCCAGCAATCCCACTGCTAGGTATATACCCAAAGGAATGGAAATCATTATGTTGAAGGGATACCTGCACCCCCATGTTTATTGCAGCTCTATTTACAATAGCCAACATATGGAACCAACTTAAATGTCCACCGAGGACAACTGGATAAGGAAAGTGTGGTATACATACACAATGGAATACTACTCAGTCATAAAAAACAAATGAAACTCTGCCATTTGCAGCGACATGGATGAACTTGGAGAAAATTACGTTGTGAAATAAGCCAGACACAGAAAGAGAAATACTTCAGGTCTTCACTCTTAAGTGGGAGCTAAAAAATAAAGAAAGAAAGAACAATCGTAGAGCAAACTTTCAAAAGGAGAGAACAGGACTGTGGTTATTAGATATTAGAGGTGGGAAAGGGGGACAGGGGTTAGCAAAAAATTGGTTAAGGGTCACAAAGAATGGTTACGTTTTATAAAGATGAGTATACTGATTACTTGATTTGATCATCACGTATTGTACACAGGTATTGATATTCAACTCTGTACCCCACAAATATGTATAATAAACTATGTTTCAATTTTTAAAAAAATAAGAAAAAAAAGAAAAAGGACAATCAAGAGAAGGAAGTGGTTTGGAAGAAGATGAATTGCATTTTAACCTCGTTATGTCCAAGACATCACATCCAAGTAGAACTGTTCAGTAGGCAGTTAAGAACATAGGAAACCCTTGGGGTGCAAGAAATAAAAGACTTGGGAGTCATTCTTGTAAATGTAATGGCCTAGGCCTGAAAGCAGATACAAGATATGCAGAAATGACATCAACATTAAATGAGATGGCTATAAATTACTGAAAGTACTTACAAATGCACTGTAGAGAGGCAAGAGATAGGAACATGTGGAGACATAATGATGTGATTTGATTTGAAACAAGATTTAATGTTCCTTAATTAAATGCCCATTATGTGCTTGTATTAGAATATTCGTGCATGATATGGCATGAAATATATTGTTCCTGATATTACATAGTTCAATAGGCTAGCTATTTTGAGGTGTTTATTTATTTATTTATTTTTGTCAGCTGGCTCGTAAGGGGATCTGAACCCTTGACCGTGGTGTTACCAATACCATGCTCTAACCAACTGAGCTAACCAGCCAGCTGGTATCTTGAGTTTGAAAACAATGGTTGAAATAAATGCTATTTTAACTAATGGAACTTCACTAAATGTTAAGTGAAGTGAGTTTTTCATATAAGATGAAATAACATCAGTGGAACAAGAATTTTTAGCAGGGTTATATAACATTTCAGGCACAAAGTCATTACAGGAGAATAAGATTAACGGCAGTATTTTTTCTTTCTCAATTTACCAAAAATGGAACCTTATAATGGGGGGTGGAGGGCAGAATATATATATTGTTTATTACAACTTTAGTTGGACTAAAACACGTCACTACTTTCTAGCCATGAAAATGTTAATAGTTGAGAAATAACAATAACTTTCCAATATTTCATTCTGTTACTTTCATTACATATAATGATTAGAAGTTCAAAGTAAATATTACATGCATCATTTCCATTCCATCTTCAAAATAACAAGAGGCCTTATTGAAGATATGAAAGCAAGCTTAGAAAATGAAGTGACCTTCTCAAAATCACATGGGTGAGCAACCCAGGGTCATGAGTTTGTCATATTTCAATATATAATGGATATACAAGGGTACTTCAAAAATTTCATGGAAAAACAATTAAAAGACAATATAAATCTTTACATGAACTTTTTGAAGTATCCTCATACTTCTGAAATGCCTCCTATTTGTATTATGTGGGTGGCTGGTTTCTTTTCTCTGCATGCTTTGTATCACTGGAGCTAGGCATAGCAATTTTATGTCTAGAAGATTTTCCTAGAAAATAAAAATATAAGTACATGTAACACAAATGCCTTCATTCTCTGAACTTTTGCAATGATGATGAATTTGTTCTATTTGTAGGAAAAAACAATAAAGCTAACTCCAGTTTGGAAAATAAAGACAATAAAAATACTATTCAAGTATAACTAAAGTTACAAGGACACTCAGGGTTATTTTTTAAACTGCAATCATTTTTTAAACATTTATTAAGGATTTAACTATGTGCCAGAAAATGTTTCAGAGGCTAGAAATCCCTACTCTCATGAAGACTGTAGTCAAATGGCTGTGGTGTAAAACAAAAAGCTTTGGCCTTTTGACCAGCTAGTTTCAAGGGCTTATTTATACTTCCTCTGTGCTAGAGCAAGAACAGATAAACAGGTCACACTTGAATTTTCAGCACTTATTTGACACTGGGCTATTAAAGGCCTAGCATTCCTAAACTGACAGAAAAAGTCCTTTAGTAACTTACACCATGTGCCTTCTAATGTGCATATATTGAGAAGGACACATTCAGCCCTATGTAGAATTCCAACCAAAAATGTTTAACTTGAATTGGACCATAAATTAGCCAAATAGAACTTTGAAACATTCTCAAAAAAAAAAAAAAAAAAAAAAAAAAAACTGGCTCAGAATCTTCAAAAAACGTGTCAGGTGCATGGTGGCATGCACCTGTAATCCCAGCTTCCTGAGAGGCGGAGGTCAGTGGATCCCTGGGGCTCAGGGCTACATTGCTATGTGGAGTGGGAGTCTGCACTGGGCCTGGCACCAACATGGAGCCCCTGGATACCAGGTTGTCTAAGTTGCAGGGGGCAACCAGCCCAAGCTGGACATGGAGCAAGTCAAAAAACACAAGTGACATAAAATTATAGACACAAGGCTAGGAAACTATTCTAAATTTTAAAAGATTAAAGAAGCATGACAAGAAGTGTAATGCGTGATCCTCCTGAACTGATAGAATAAAAAAGCTCTAAGACATTATTGGGCTCATTCTCTCTGCTCAGCCATCCACCACATGAGCCCCTGCAACGCTGTGTAGAATCACCACCACCAAGGCCTTCACCAGACATGTTCTTTGGACTCTGTTCTTCCCAGCCTCCAAAACTAAGAGGACAACACCCTAGATAATGATGGAACATCAACTAGGATATTAACCCTGTAGAACTTGGATCAATGAATGACTTTCTGAAGTAGACCTACTCCACCAGCCTTGGCCTCTTTCCTCAGGTACTACACCCCTGTTCATGGCCACAAGAACGTTCACTGAACAAAAGTTTACTTCTGCAATGCAGCTGCTCTGGCCGTGTGCTGGGGATGCTCAGATAAAGCTCACTATCCAAGCAACTTTAATGTTGTGACATTTCCTTCTCAACACCGAGTTTCTGGCTTCACTGAAACAGAGCCATAAATATTAAAATTGGTTGCTGCAAGTAGAAATTGATTTTTTTTTTAAATCAGTCTAGCAATAAAAAGCTCCCATGAGAACCTGATGTCAATGGTAAGAAAAATTCAACTACTAAAACCAATTCCAAAGCATATTTGTGGATGTGACTGCAAGACAAGACCATGAGCTGTTGCACTTTTAAATATAAAATTGTAGAGGCAGACTGGTATGTGTAACTATGAATGAACATATGCAGCTTGACCTATCCAGACCAATTTACTTCTGAGACAGAAAACAAATCTGATAATCAGCAAGTTGTTTTATGTGTTTATGCCTGACAGATGTACTGAATACTTACTATGGAAGACAATGTTTAGTAAGATTGTCAAACACCAGTAGTTAGCAATTAATAGAGAATAATAAAAATGGAATTTCTAATTGCATATGTTAAAAGTATAATGATACTCAAGACTATGGTATAGTATGTAATGCCTCATTTTCTCCATAAAAGACTTATTTAAACTTTTTGTCAATAGTATATCAACTAAAGCAAAGTTCCTAAAAAGAAAACCATAAATTTTTCTTAAATTTGAATCAGTATTTTTCCAAATACAGAATAAAACCTAGAATCATAAATAAAAAGCATTAAAATGATCTATATATCTGTCCATTTTACAGATAACAAAGGAAAAAAAACTGACCCAGACCGATTTAATGACCTGTCAGACCTCATGTAGAAAGCCAGGTCTAAGAATCACATCAACACACTGTACCACACAAAAATGTACAAGTAAATGTTGAAATTAAAATTAAATTTTAAAAAAAAACCCAAAAAATTTTTTTAAAAGAATCACATAAAAAAAAAAGACACTGCTGAGACAATTGAGGGAACCTATAGAGAGAGAATGTCCTTGTTCCTGGGGGACATATGCTAACCAATTTAGGAGTGAAGTGTCATGACATCTGTAACTTAATCTCAAATTGTACAGCCAAGAAAAAAAAAAAAAAGGATCAACGAGAAATGTGGCAAAACGTTAAAAACTGGTGAATCTAGGTGAAGGGATACAGATGCACAATCATACTATTCTTGCAATATTTCTGAAGGCTGAACAATGTTCAAGAATGTGAGAAGAGAAATAAAGAAAAACTGGCTATTTCAAAAAGGAAAAAATCCTTTATAAGAGCAAGAGAACAAACAAATTGACTGGGGGAATGGGAAATATAGGGTGATTACTTAAGATTTATGGCCACATATTCAAAGTAAAATGCACGGTTTATGTTTTTCTATAGCCACGATCCACTGTTCTTATCCGAACACAGAGTAGGCAGAAAGATTAATCAAAATTGAGGTTTTTCTAAGTGAATTAAATGGTGGGAGTTGAGGAGGTATGCAAGAGTGTGAACATAAAAATGGATTGAGAAACATCAAGGACAAGGCAGGACAGAATAAACAGGGAAGTAATGTTTGGCGAAAATGTTAGAGTAACAAAAAAAGAGGGAGTTCTTCAAAATAGCAAGTGGGAAAGCTGAACTTTAAACAAAAAAGCTTCATTTAAGAAAGTTATTTACATTAGCAATAAAACAAAGATTCACTCATCTACTTCAACCTCAATTATTTCATCCATCATCAGTGTGTTGGACCAAAACACAATTTTTAGACAAATAGAGAATGTCATTAGCATTTGTGCTTACAACTCACTTTTACCAGAAATATAACTGCTGAATTTTAAAAACAGTCTGTTTCTTTATAATCCATTCATAATAGTGGGACAGTCCAGATTAATTATATCCACATGCAAATAAAAATTTTTGCAACTAGAGTAATACCTCACCTACCTGGAATTTGGTCATCTGATCACCTAATCTATCATTAATTAAAAAAAAATGGGAACAAAAAGGACTATGAATAGCCAAAAAGATGTCACATGGCCCTTCCACTAAAATACTACATTATTTCATTTATAGGAAGAAAAGGTTTTTTTTACAGATTCTATTTAAGCTAATCAAAAAGCACAATTTAAGCTAACTCTGCTGTATGTTTTCCTGACTCACAACAGATTAGAAGTTGTAAATTAGAAAAGCAAAATGAGATTAGCAGCAGCAGGAGGTACACTGACAACAAAGCAGAAAGCTGAAAAACTATCAAATGCAGAGAAAAAAATTAGAATGCATAAGTCTCTAACAATAAATTCTAAAGATAGCACACTTTAAAAAACCAAAGAATGCTGTTATTAATATACCATTCTAAAGGAGGAAACACTTCCTAACTCATTCTATAAGGGCAATATTGCCTGATATTAAAGCCAGACAAAGATACCACAAGAAAACAAAAGACCACTATGTCTTATGAGAATAAATGTAAAAATACTCAACTAAATACTAGCAAAGAATATCAAAAGGATTATATAGCATGACCAAGTAAAATTTATCCCAGGAATGCAAGGGTGGTTCAAGAAAGACCTGAAATACTTCTACATGAAAGCTCATAGCAGAACTGTTTAAAACAGCCAAAAGGTCCACCAAATGATGAATGAATAAACAAAATGTGGTATATCCATACAATGACACATGCTACAACAGACAAATCTCAAAAACATTATGCTAAGTGAAAGAAGCCAGATAAAAGGTCATATGTGATCCCATTTATATGAAATACCCAGAATATCCAGAATAAGTATATCCATGAAAACAGAAAGGAGACTAGTGATTGCCAGGGGCTGGAGTAGGAGAGGAATAAGTAACTGTTCAATGGGTACAGTATTTTCTGTGAGGTGATGAAAATATTCTGGAACTAGATAAGGTGGTCATTACACAACATTGTGAATATACTACATGCCAGTGTACTACACACATTAAATTGGTTAGTTT